TTGATTTATTTAATATATAAGTTTGTTTATTTATGTATTTATTTTAATAGTTGAAATGGACAGCGCAAGCGCAGTGTATAGTTTGCGAACTCGACGAGAAGGGCACGCAAGCGCAGTGCATGGTAGTTGAACTGGACAGGAGCTGTGTGTAGTTGGAGAAGTTAACGGCCGTGAAAAAGGGATGCAGGCGCAGTGTGAGTGGCAACACATGCGCAGAAGGTCCTTATGTGTAGCTGACCTACTGGCAGTACCCGGATGCAACGTCAGAGGTTCGCGAGGTCGATGAGTTCTCAGTGTCGACAGAACACCGGCGACTGTCCAGAGGACCTGAGAGCATTTGCAGGCCACCTAACTTAGGACCCCACCTGGAGCTCCTCCCACCGGACCAGCGCCGACTCGCCGCTGCTCTCCCGCACAGCGCGACCTCACCAGCGAGGCAACTAACAGTGAGTGAGGGCCTGGGGTCCCTCATAAGAACGATTTATTGTATTAGCAGGGGAAAATAGTAAATTATTGTCTGCAGTGTGTACTCTATATGTACTGCATATAGAGTACACACTGCAGCAATAGATTTACTATTATCCCCTGCTAATATGAATGGATTAAATGTTCTATATTACATAATAGTACATAACATGTAATTGTAATACTACAGATCATTTAACCCATTCATGTTAGTCGAGGAAAATTGTAAATCTATTGCTGCAGTGTGTAATGTATATGTAGTACATGCATACAGCACACACCTCTACTACACTACAGCAAAAGATTTACAATTCTCCCCTGCTAACATGAATAGGTTAAATCATGATCCATAGTACATAACATGTAGTTGTATTATGGATTATTTAACACATTCATGTTAGCAGGGCGGAATTGTAACTCTATTACTGCAGTGTACTGGAAGTGTGTACCAGTTTAAATGATCCATAGTGCACACTTCCAGTACACTGCAGTAATATAGTTACATTTCTCCCCTGCTAACATGAATAGGTTAAATGATCCTAGAGGCACATGCATGATCGGATTTGTAGTTTCATGACAGCTGTGTGAAAGCAAATACAAATGTTTTATTGTTCTAAAACAGTCTTAAATTAAAGTTCTTCATAATCGTAAAGAAATTGGCCTAAAATCATTAGTCTGCATTGTTGTTTTTTTTAAAGTCACCTGTCCCTTTAAGAAAAAGTATCGGTAATTGGTATCGGCAAGTACATATGGGGAGGTACTTGTACTTGGTCTTGAAAAAGTGGTATCGGGACATCCCTACTATATAACAATAACAAAAATACATTCATATTGTCCCTTGCGCTGCTGGACATTGTAGATCACACTAGTAATGAAAATCAAGTCATCATGTAATGGCCACAATTACTGTTCATACAGAAAAAAAAAAAAAGCCAGTGCCACACTCACCAAAGGCAGGATATTGCAGCTTATATTGCAGCTTTAATGGGTGGGCACCCTTACCATTACTAATATTATTAAGTAATAATAATAATCTAACACCTGCATTGTCCATGCTGCTGGTCAACATAGATCATTGGTAATTATCATCAAGTCATCATGTAATGCCCATAACTACTGGTCACACAAAGGTTCGGGGTGCAACAGATCTGGTAGTGCC